ATTCTTGCTTTACAGACTGTAAATAATTGTCTATGTATCGATCGTTATTTTTTAATTTTATTATAAAGTTTCTGAGTAATATATTTTGTTCCTGTTCATTAAGAATATTCTAACGCTCATGGATAGATCTAATCGACATAATTTTGATTGTTGTTTCTTTGACACGTGATATGTTGGGAATAAATTATAATATTCTGACCGGATAGCATGTGTTTAAATCAATCTCTGAAAAGGTTGTACAGTTAGTACCAGAAACCTATAAATAGTATCAATATGTATAGATATCATATTTGTTAAATATGATGGATAAAAACTCATTGGTTGAAGATTTCAAAACCTTCTTCGAGAATGGTAAGAATACTGATGTTATATTTAAGACAGAGCCTAGATTACATGCCCATTCCCAGATATTATATGCACGATCGAAGTATTTTCATACCCTCTTCTCACCGAAATGGACTTCTCATGGAGATGAGTCACATATTGAGCTCACAGCAAATGTTTCATATTTCGCATTATATAAGATCATTCTTTATATATACACTGGCATTGTAAATCTAAGGTATGTTGACATAGGAACTATCCTTGAAATTTTAACCGAAGGTGATATTTTTCTCTTAGAAGAGCTTTCTTCCCAAGTAGTACAATACCTACATTCTGATATTAATAGGTTCATAAGAAAAGATATGGTGACATTGGTTGAATTTATAATTAATCACGATATATTCAAACAAAAGTTTGAATTTTTATTTTATGATATTGTTAAAAATATCAAGATATTGGCATTTGATACAAATGAAATGTTTAACACTGAAACTCTGGAATATCTAATATGACATGATGAACTTGGTGTAACAGAGGGTGAATTATTGTTCTATATTTGACGTAAGAAGTATAATATAGAGTTGAGAGACCTGAGGGTGCACCAGATCGAAAAAAGCATGATTATGGATTTACTATGGAAAGAACACGAAACGATAAACAAAGATATTCTAGAGAATGTTCTTAGAAGTAAATTAAATCCTTCTTGGTATATACCAAAATATGGTATAATTTGATAAGATTCACAAATATCAGTCACATTTCAAATATTTTAAATACTTCACTTTTAGGTACTCTAAAAACAATATTTTCATGTACATTTCGTATCAAACAGATCTT